TTTGTACATACTATTAATTATAATAATGATAATAATTATATTTATAAATTACAAACAAGCATAACAATAGGAGGAACAACTAAAACCACCAATATAAATTAAATCATTAACAATAAACCACACATTGTTTTTCCATAATAATTTTTTTTTTTTTTTAAAAAATTTATATATATATACTTTTAAATAGTTTTTTTATTAACTTTATAATTATTTATATTCAAAATATAGTATAGAAAAAAAGAAATAATATAATATACTATAGTGTAATATCGATAGGAATAATATGGCCTCAAAACTACTTCAAAATCAATTTAAAAGTAAATATGGTTTTTTAAAATGAATAGTTTTTTTTTTTTTTTTTTTTAATTACTATTTACTAAAAATTTTATTTTTTATAGAAATTCAATCAGAACCAATTGAAGGTGTTCTATTTGAATTGGTTGATGAAAATTTATTCGAATGGAAAGCCTTTGTTGAAGGACCACCAGAAACTGATTAGTATGTCTTTATAATATATTATTTTATAATTAGAGCAGTAATACAATAACAATAACAATAACAATAACAATAACAATAACAATAACAATAACAACAAATACATCAATAATAATATAATAGTAATAGTAATAATAATTATAATAATCGATAGGATTAATAATTAATTTTATATTGTTTCTATTTTTTTTTTTTTTTTTCACTTTTTTTATTTAAAAATTATATAGTGAAGGTGGAATATTCCAAATTCAAATGAAATTTCCAACTGACTATCCAATGTCCCCACCAACTTTAATTTTCCAATCAGAATTTTGGCATCCAAATGGTAATTATTAATTTAGAACAAAACTAAATTATAGATTTAAACTGAGCCAATAGAAATCATTTTAAATATTAATATTTATAATTTAATACTTTAGTTTATCCAGATGGAAAGGTTTGTATTTCTATTTTACATCCACCAGGTGAGGATGAAACCTCAGGTGAATTACCAGAAGAAAGATGGTTACCAACTCAAACTGTTTCAACCATCATATTAAGTGTAATTTCATTATTGAGTGCACCCAACACATCATCACCAGCCAATGTAGATGCATCGGTAGAATGGAGAAACAATAGAGAAAACTATAAAAAGAGAATTAGGGAATTAGTGCAAAAAGCAAATCAAAAGGTCCCAAGTCCCATTAAAATTCCACATCCAGATTCTGATCCACTCGAAAGAGCCAAGCAAGTAGAAAAAATTAAACTCTTAAATAAACCAATGGATTTCTATGATGACTACGATGACGACAATTATGACTACGATGACGACTACGATAATGATGACGGGGAAGATAACGAAGATTACAATGAAGATGATGAAGGTATTGATGATGAAGATGATGATTTGAATCCATTCAAATAAAATACTATATATCAATAACCAAACATTCAAAGAAAAAAAAAAACTAAAAAAAAAAAAAAAAAAACTAAAAATCCATTAATTATTTAAATAAAAAATATAAAATAAAACTACACAGATTATATCAATTATAAAACTATTTTTAAAATTAACCCCTTTTTTTTTAATATGTGTGTCGGAATTTAGGTTTAATTGGAAAAAAAAAAAAAAACCCTTTGTATAATGAAATTTACTTTACAAATACTAAAGAAGCTTTTATTGGGATATTTTTAATTAATGAATAGGTTCCATTTTGACATGTAGAAAATGGAATTGAAAATTCCGTTTTGGATACTTTTGATTAAAATAAAATTTTTTATTTTTTTTATTTTTTATTTTTTATTTTTTTTTAAATTTTTTAAAATTTTTTTTAACATATTTTTTTTTTTTCTTTAGTTTTTACATATATATTTTTTATAAAATGAAATTATTAGTCCAATTAATTTTAGTTTTAAGTTTAGTAACTTTATCATTAGGTTTCAAAATTGATACCCAAAGGGGTGATCTTTTTGGTGGAAAGAGAACTTGTTATGTTAGAAAGAATGAGGGTCGTACAGAAAAAATTACCTCCCCAATGCCACACGAATACTTAAGTTTAGAAGATTTACCAGACTCATTCGATTGGAGAAACGTCTCAGGTGTAAACTATATTACCGAAAATCGTAATCAACAGTATGTATTGTTTATAGTTAAATTTTATCTTTTGTATATAATATAAATTTAGGATATTAATTTTTAATTTTATTTTATTTATATAGCATTCCACAATACTGTGGTTCATGTTGGGTAAATTAAAAACTCAATTTTTTTTTTTGTATACATATAAATATTAATTTAATTTTTTATTTTCAATCTATTTTAGTCATTTGCTTCAACCAGTGCTCTTTCAGATAGAATTGTAAGTTTAAATATAATAAATATAGAACAAAACTTTAGAAACAACTTATTAATTTTATAATTACCTTTTATTAGAAAATTCAACGTAAAGCTGCTTTCCCAGGTACGAATTTAAATAAACTATAATTAATTTAATTTTTAGGTTTTGGATATAATACTAATTAATAATCATAAAAACAAATAAATAATAGATGTTAATCTTGCTCCACAACATTTAATTAATTGTGAAATTGGTGGTAGTTGTGATGGTGGTGATCCATTATCAGTTATGGAAGGTTTATCATCAGATGGTAAACAAGTTGCTGTTGATGAAACTTGTGCTCCATACCAAGGTAAGAATCATATACAAATACTATACAAATACAAGCACATTAAAACTCATTCTAATTGTCATAACTTTTTTTTTTTTTAGCTAAAAATGGTCTTGGTTGTACCCCAACATGTAAAAACTGTTTCCCAAATGGTGTATGTATTTTACTTTTAAATTTTTAAAAATTTTAACACAATCATTAATTTTAATACTTTACATATAAAAAAAAGACTTGTGTTGCTGTTGCTAAATTCCCATCAGTCCAAGTTACTCAATATGGTTCAATTAGAGGCGCCAGCAAAATGATGGCTGAAGTAAGTTTATCATATTCAAACCTATTATTTATTTTAATTACTTGATTAACTAATTTATATCTTTAATTTATAGATTTATGCTAGAGGTCCAATTGCTTGCAGTGTAGGTTTTTTTTTTTAAAAAATTTCTTTAAATTTATTTTTTACTAATACAATTTAATTTTAGATCGATGCTACTAGCAAATTAGAAGCCTACACCGGTGGTATTTTCAAAGAAATTAAATTCCCAGCTATTCCAAATCACATCATCAGTGTTATTGGTTGGGGTGTCGAAGGTTCAACCAAATATTGGGTAAATATTTTCTTATATTTTATAGTTTTAAAGAAAAATTCTAATATTAATAATTATATTTAGATTGTCAGAAACTCATGGGGTTCATATTATGGTGAAACTGGTTTCTTTAGAATTGTTCAAGGTACCTTTGATAATTTAGGTATTGAAGACGATTGTGTTTGGGGTGTTCCAGAAATCCAATGGTAAAATATTAATGTAATTCAATAGAGTCAATGAATATTGGTTAAGAAACAAAAACTAACTGGTCTTCAAAGACTCAACGACAAATTAAAAAATATAATATTCAAAATTTGATTTTTAAATAGAAAATATATAATAAAATCCAAGATTAAAATCTTGATTTGTTTTTTTATAGTAATTTTAAATTTTATATTTTCATTATCTTTTTTATTAATGTTATATAATTTGTGTATTAATAGGTTACAATAAAAATATTTAGATTAAAAAAAAAAAAAACACCATTATTTTATGTGTAGTTTTTGTTTATACATTTATTATTTATTTTATAAATTATTCTTTTCTTTGAGATAATAATTTTTTAGCCAACTCCTTCTTTTGGGAATAGAAATAAGGTGTTGCTTCAATATTGAGATGATTAGCAATTATATTTTGGACTCTTGATGCAAAATCAGAATCTGTTTCATTTGAATTGATTGATACTGGTGGTAAAAATTCTAAAGAGAATGTGTGATATGGTATTAACATCCACCAAAAAAAGTTTTTGAACCAACTTGAGTTAATATAATCTACATGGACTGGCCATGTATTTTCTAACTTCATTGCAATTGGTAATACTGAATGACCAAGACCGAAAACAAATTTTTGGAACATCATTAAACCAGCTTTGCCATTGGTTAAACCACCTTCTGGGTAAAGTAATAGTGGTAAATCCGACTTGTTTAAACTATTTAATACATCCTCCCTAGCCTTGGCTTTATTGGTTTGATCTACATAAATTGTATTTAATTTTTCGTAAGCTTTACCAACAACTGGTACATTCTTAATATGGGATGCTACTAATACATGATAGCCCTCTAAAACTAAATATAATGGATATGGATCGAAATCTGTTAAGTGATTACAAACTAAAATACGAGCTGCGCTTGGATCACCTTTTTTAGGGATATGTTCACTTTGCAAAGAAAATTTATTATTAAAACTCTATTCTTTATTTTTCTTTTTTTTTATGATGATATTTATTTATTTAAATACTTACGCTCCTTTAAGATCATATCTAATACCCATAGTATATTTAACTAAATGTCTAGTTTTTGTTGAGATTGATTTTGGTCCAACTAAAGCAATAAAAAAAAGTAAAGCTGTAAAAATAATTTTGAATGGCCATAAAACCAAACCAATTGGTAAATATAAACAAAACAAGAAATGTTTAATTGTATATGGCTTTTTCCATCTACCGTGATTAAATAATTCTTCTAATTCTACTTTCTGTGGTGTTGCACCATCATTTAACTGTATTTCTGGTCTAACTCTTTGTGGCATTTTAAAATTATTATATTTAAAATATTATTATTTGAAAAACCTATACTATTTATATTTGTTTATTATTATTAATTTTATTATTATTATGCCTCTACACAATAATTGGTATTACAACACGCTATAATTTATATTGCTACTATTGTTGCTTATATTATTAATATTTTTGCTGATACCACAGCTACAGTATCTATTATTTATTAATGTACTAATACAAAATAATAAATATTTAATTTAATATTTAATAATAAAAAAAAAAGAGTTATAAAAAATAACCTATATGAAAAGAAAAAAAAAAACTATTATGTTAATATATATTATAATAATTAAATTTTAAACTATTATTAATAATTGATTTTTTTTTATTTTTATTTTTTTTAATTTTTATTATTTAAAAATTTCTATTTTAATAGTTTTGGTATGTGTGTATTAGTATGTGTGGTTGTGTGTTTGTTTAATTTTTTTACTGTTTAAATGCGCATTGTGTGTTTGATACTGAAAAAGATATTATTTAACCACCGGTTCCAATAGTGTTATTATTATTATTATTATTATTATTATTATTATAATGGAAAATATGATAAAACTATAATTTATTTTTACTACTATGAAATATTATTTATAATTTTTTGTAATTATCTTTTTTTTTTTTTTTATTTTATTTTATTTTATTTTTTAAAATTTTTTTTAATTTTATTTTATTTTTTTTTTTAATTTTTTTTTTTTTTCCCATAGGAGTTTTTTTTGGATACAAACTTTTTATACTCTTAATTTTATATTGTGTATTTATATTTATACAAATAAAATTTTGATATTAAACAAAATAAAATAAAATAAAATGAAAGGTTGTAAAAATAAAAATAAAAAAAATAAAAAATAAAAAAATCAAAACACAAATACGTTATATTTTTTTATATTAATAATAAAATAAAAATTTTAAAATTTTTATAAAAAAAATTGAAAGAATTTTCCGATATTTTATGACGGTTGGATTAGTCGGAAAGTTCAACATGTGCTCTTACATAAGCATACCCCCAATCAATATTGATATTTTTGATATCTTTGGTTTTTTTTTCATTCTTTTTATTTTTTTTATAAAATTTTTTTTTTTTTTTTTCAATCACCAAAATTTTTTCCTAATCAATATTGCCTCCTCATTATAAAAAAGGTGATAAGTGGACATTCGGAAATGTTGGTGGAAAAGTAGTAATATTTAAGGGTTAACCCTTTAATAATGGTGCACCTGTTGATAAAAAAATGTTATTTCTGAAATAATTTTATTTAAATATCTTTTCATTGGGCGGGTCAAAAAAAAAAAAAAAAAAAAAAAAAAAAATTTTAGTAATATTATATCTATATATTATTATTTCTA